TCTCTCTCTCTCTCTCACCAAGATCCAAAATGGAGGGAGGTGGAAATTGCGAAGGGGATCGACGTGGAAGAGAGAGTCGGGGTGGTGGGGTCAAGGGGATAGCGGAGGAGGAGCGGAGGAGGAGTGGAGGAGGAACCGGGGAGGAACGGAGGGGGAACGCAGGAGGAATAGAGGGGAGGGGAGGGGAGGGGAGGGCTGTGAAACGGGGGTTGGGGGGGGATGGAGCGGGGGGACACGAATGGCAGCGTAGGGTGGCAGAGGAGGAGCGGAGGCGAACGGAGGCGGTGGAATGGGGTTAGCGGAGGAGGAGCAGAGGGGTCAGCCGCAATGGCGCCGGAAACTCCTCTCTCTCTCTCTCTCTCTCTCACACACACACACACACACACACACACACACACACACACACACACACACACACACACACACACACCGACAAACTAAGATCGGAAAATAGGAGGGAGGTGGAATGGGCGGAGAAGAGAGTTGTAGCAGGTCGGGGAGGATGGTGGGTGCAACCGGTTAGCATGACGGAGGCGTGGAGGAGGAGCAGAAGTGCGGGGGGGCAGGGAATGCGGGGTAGCGGAATAGGGCTAGTGGAGGAGCAACGGTGGCAGCGGGGGGGTAGGAGCAGCGGAGGGCGAACGAAGGTGGGGGAGGGGGGGAAGTGGTGGGGGGAGGGAGCCAGGCCACTGACCTGAGTCGCGTCGACAATCCTCCACCGCACCTCAATCAGGGCCCACAACAGCTCACGACCAACCACAGCGAAGAGGGAGAGGGAGAGAGAGTGTGCGTGTGTGTGTGCATGTGTGTTGTCATGTTTGCTATACACAACTTCACACAGAAAGCATGACTGTTTCTTCGGACTTTCACCGACTCATCAGGAGGTTAAACCCCGACAGTCTGCCCTGGATGCATTTGACTGATGGATAATGACCCACCGCATCACCCAGAGTGAGTGTGCGTGTGTGTGTGTGTGTGTGCATGTGTGTGCATGTGTGTGTCTGTGTGTGTGTGTGTGTGTGTGCGCGCGCGCGTGAGAGAGAGAGAGAGAGAGAGAGAGAGAGAGAGAGAGAGAGAGAGAGAGAGAGANGAGAGAGAGAGAGAGAGAGAGAGAGAGAGAGAGAGAGAGAGAGAGAGAGAGAGAGAGAGAGAGAGAGAGAGTCGGCGCCTTGCAGGGCGATCCACGACTGCATGCACAACACAGCGCGAGGCGATATACAACACGGGCGGCGCGAGGCAGGCTATACACAACACGACTCGGACTAGGGCGTGGACCTCAGGCACAGAGTTCAACGAAAAACGGCGTTCAACAAAGAACGGCGCAGATCGGCACCGCCTGTTGTTGCAACGGGCAAAGGCAGAGTGAGGTGCCTGAAGTTGCCTGCGATCTGGGCCGTTGGGGCCGAGCTCCAGGGACGACGGCCTGGATTCAGGCACTGTCTTAAGATCTTAAGGCTGCCTCGATCCAGGCCCTTGGTCCAGTTGGGCCACAAATTTGTTACGTTCTTTCGACAACCGCATCGATCCAGGCATCGGTCCGGTAAGGCCCGATGGCCCAGATCGCAGATTTGTTACAGTCTTTCGACGATCTGGGCTGTGGACCAGTAGGTCCTACGATGGCCCGGATCTTAGATTTGTGACGCTAGCAATTTCAATAGTGTAGGGATGTAGCGTACCGACTCTGTTAAGGTCATGACGTTATCCTGGATAAACCAACCTGTGGTAAAACTCATTTGGTCGATGTGAAAGCAGGTTTGCATTGCATGACTGGCCCCAGTCCTTTGGCCAGCAACTTGGCCATTACCTTACATACCACTGGGAGTATGGTGATTGGTCTGTAGTTTCTCATGTGGGCTCGCTCTTCTTTTTTGTAGAGGAGGGTCACCATCCCTGTACTTATGGACTCCCCGAGGTGGTCTATGAAGCTGAGTAAGTTATCCTCGAAGACGGGCAAAAAAGTCTGCCAAAATTCCTTCGATGCTCCCGTCTTTCACCCATCTTTTGTTAGGCTTCAGCGATATGAGGGCTTCCCTTACTTCCTCTTGTGTGATTGGTCCGTCCAGGAGCTCTGCTTGAGCAGGTGAGATTGTTTTGTCGAGGTATACATGGAGTCTTATCTGTCGTTTCCTTAATTGAGGCTGCCAAATTGTGTCCTCTTCTGAACGGGTTGCCTGCTAGGCCCGTGTTTTTGCCTGGATGGAAATCCAGCAAAACGGCGGCTCGGTACTTCCGGAGAGAGCAGAGGCTACATGCATGCACACCGCAACTCTGAAAAAATGGCTGGGAAAGGTATTGGTGGTTTGATGGCCTGGGAGTGCAGCCTCCTCCTCCCTACCTTTCCCAGCCTCCCTCCTCCCTACCTCTCCCAGCCTCCTCCTCCCTACCTCTCCCAGCCTCCTCCTCCCTACCTCTCCCAGCCTCCTCCTCCCCATGGAAAGTCTTCTGGAAAGGCGATGATGATCTGTTGTTGTTGTTCTTGTTGTTTGTGTGGCCATGATCAACATGTTGTAATGCCTGTATGATTTACCTTGTGTTCTTACAGGTGTTTATCTGGGAGCCTTGTGAAACTATATTTTTGAATTTTTTGTGTGATTTTCTTTGAAAGGAGGCTTGCCTACGTTGGGAAACAAGGTTTGAGTCCTTAGGGGCATCCATTAAATAAATTGGAACTGTACAGAGAAGGAAGATTAGCATGCCCCCTGTGCAAGAATGACACACATAAAAAAAATCGATAAAATGGTTCAAATTAAGAAAGAAAGGAAAAAAAAAAGAAAAGTTGTGGTGCGATGCCTCTGGTGGAAGTTTCAGCTGTGGCCAGCTCAGCCCAAAACAAACATTTTGGGATAGACCGGTTAGGTGCAGGGCCGCCTGGTACTACGGTCATGCTTGGAAATCAGGAACCTTACCGCAATGGTGGCCAGGTTCGTGCTATGATATGGCACAAGGGAGCGGTGGGGCCCAGCTGCCTTCATGACAAGTCGACCTGACGTTGTCACAGCTGGTGTTTTTTTTTTTGTTTTTTTTTTTTTGTTCCTAATCTGCCTTCCATTCATGGGAGCTTCACGTGCTGGGAAATGCGCCCACATCCCAAATAATTTGCATATGATAACAGAAAAGTTTTGGGAAATAACAAGCACGAATTGCCCTAGGCAGAGCCTTGGAGGAAGGTCCTACTAGCAAAGAGGGTTGGATTCAAAAGCCTGAATCCGAGTGGGTTTTAACCAGAGATGCAGAACAGCAGATCAATCGCAATTTTTTTTTTTCTGCACCTCTATGCAAACGCGTCCACATTCAGCCGTTAAATCCGCTCCCCTTCTTTGCTAGTTTGAACTCGACCGTGGGCATTAACTGCTGAACAGAAAACGGCAAACTGCAAACAAATGGCCTCGTTCCACTGCACAGACACTTGGACGAGATGCATTTGGACCGATCCCACATTTTGCATGTATAAGGGCCAGCAGCAACCTCTCCAGATCCATTTATAATGTCGTCTAGTGGAGCGAGGGCCGAAGTCAACTGCTGAAAAAAAAAAACACTGCACAAGCCTCTTCATCGCACACCTTTTTTGTTCTTTCTTTTTTTTTTTCTTCTTTTTCCTCACAACTTCTCTCAATGCCAGATTTACAACCAAATCCTTAAGAACCAAAAAAAATCCGAACCTTGCCTATGCAGTTTGTCCACACCATGATAAATCCACGAAGGAAAGGAGAAAGAAAAGGATTAAAAAAAAAGGAGTTGGTGAGGCCGTCCATGGCTAGGCGAGCAACTTAGCAAGATGTGCCGCACCGGTTTCTAGTGACACCACTACCAACTGACCCAACTGTTAAAACTTCGAACCAGAGGCTCTTCGCAAGAGGTGCATCTCGCACGCACCACGCGCAGTTGCGTTGCTCCGGACGAGGCAATGAGCTTCTCTCTTTTGGGCGGAGTGTACGATTCTGAGAGTGAGGATGATGAGAATGGCCGACGTCGTTCTGGAGAGAATGGGGCAAGCTCGTCTGGGGATGACAGTTCAGTAGAGGATGGCGATGGTGAAGATGTGTCGCAAGGTCAGCAGCAATGTGCACAACTACCAGGAGAGGGTGATCCGTGGGGCAGCCAAGCAGCTTCTGCACAAGAGCGCGAAAGGGGGTTACCCTCGCCGCTGGATATGTTTACAGAAGTGAAAGGGCCTCCCTCGTTTCTCGACCCACCTGCGACCCGTCCAATACCTGGCTTGCCGGCAGGTCGAGAAGAAGTACCGGATTACGGAGCGGTTGAGAAAGGGGAACGGACCCCACTTGGGTCAAGTGACCCTCCGGTTTTGGAGGGTAGGGAGAAGAAACAGCTGCCTGTGGGAGCTGTCATTGTAGCACAGGCGCAGACAGTGGTGTCAGCCAGAGACTGGCCAAAGGTTGACGACGAAGGTGGTGGCCATGGCGAGGGCGTCACGACGGTGGAGAGCGTACAGCCAGTCAAGAACGGTGAAGCACAGCAGGGCAGGGTGTACGGCGTGCTGATGCCTACAAAGGATGGTGCCTCACAGCTCCTCAGGATTTGCGATCGCTGTGGCATTCCCAAGACGTTTTCAAACTCCTTTGGAGGGCTGGTTTGCCCTCAGTGCAAAGGCCGTGCTCTCACTGCAGCAGCAGTGGGGGGAGGAGGAGGAGGAGGAGCAGCAGCAGGAAGCAAGGGGGCGGAAGAGGCTGATGCAAAAGAGGGAGACGGAAAAAGGAAGTTCACTGTCAAAGACCGCGAGAAGAGCAAGAGAATGCGCGGCCAGTCGTCTCATGCATCATGGAAGTCAGAGACAGAAATGCAGCTTCGGCAACAATTTGACTGATGAACATGCGGTGCACTCGTGTTATGTCAAACCTATCAACTTAGTTTGCACGATCATCTTCCAAAGGATTAATTTCACGTCCCCGTTGCGATTCATTCGTGTTTTCTCTCAGGCAGATGATTGGGCAAGCAAGTAAAAGCTTGAGATGAGCGTTTTTGAGGTTTGACTTGAGACATCAAGGAGGGTCGGTAGTTTCTCCACCCAATAGTCTCTTCCCCACGCTCTTTCTCCCCCCTTCCCCCCCCAAACCACTCCCTACCTCCTTACCTACCATTCTGAAATTTTAACATCTAGCAAGCAGTGTGCAATGCGCAAAGAACTTCCGTTTTCAGAAGTTATTTTCTAAGCGATGATGTCAATGTAACGTTATGAATGCTATAGTACTACATCTGAAGGCACAGCATTGGTGTGTTGTTGTCAGGGGAGCCAAGGGATGTCATATGAAGGGGGAAAGGGAAGGAGGAAGAAAAGTTATGTGATATCCAAGAAGTTGCACACGCACACTATACGTGAGGTGGCATCGCATATCGTAGAAAGGCACAGCATTCACAGTACCTGGGTGTGAGTATCTATAAGGAATCACCCTCGTCTTTCCGCTTAGGCAATGGCAGCAATGCTCTCAACATCAAACTTTCTTGTTGCCTCTATGTTTTCTCCTAAGGCTTGCTGCATGCCTATCTTCCTTCATTTTTTCTGAGTGTTACTCCCCGATTATGTGCTGACTTTCACTCTCTGTTCACCAGCCTCACAGTCCCATTCAATTCCCACCGGTACCATCTGATACTTTCCCAACCTCTCTCCCTGTGTCTCATCCTCCATTCCCTTGTGTATGATTGCATCCTTGGAGTTCAAGTTCTCCTCCCTGCTTCCCATGCACGTCTCTCCGTCTTTGCCAACCAGCAAGTGCTGCCCGGTTCATCTATGGTACTCGGCTTGCCCAGCCGCGTGTCCCGGGCAAGTCGCCGGAGGGTCAGCTGCACTGGGCAACCCGTGCAGGCAAAAATCAGCCCTTCTCTTTTTTGTTTTGGGGGGGGAGGGGGGG